ACAGAGACACCCACAAAGAGACACAAAATAATCTTAACTTGATGCAGAACGGCTGCAGAGATACTCAAAACGACCCCAGTGAGACAAATAAAAAAAAGGGCCATGCAGGGAGGGAAGACAACCACTAAGAGACAAATCAACCACAGAAGAAGTGGCCATGGCCGTAGACCATTTAGAGTTAAAAGAAGCAGCTAAAGGGGGGGCTTGAAAGTCTGTGAACCCTCCAGACAGGGTCATTATACAAAAATGTAAAATAACCTCATTGACTATACATCCAACCGCCAATTCAGGTCCAGCCACGACATCTCTATTAGATTGAGGTCCAGACTTTGAGCAGTCCAATCCAGAGTATGCATCCTCTTTCTTTCAAGCCATTTATTTGTGGTTTTGCTGGTATGCTTTGGATTGTTCTTGGCCCAGCTTCAATTTCTTGACTGATGGCCGGAGATTCTGATCAATAATTGATGGGCCTGAGAATTCAGGTTTTCTTGGATAATATGGCGTCGTCCCAGAAGCAGAAAATCCGTTCCAGACCTTCACATTTCCGCCACCATGCTACACTGTTGAGAGGAGGTTCTTTTTTCATGTGACCAAATCATCTTGGACTCATCTGTCCAAAGAACCAGAAGGCCTCTGGTTTGTCCAAGTGCTCTCTGGCAAAGTTGAAATGCGCGGCCTCATTTTTAATCTTTGAGTTAAGGCTTCCTTCTAGCAACCCTCCCATGAAGGTCGTGTCTGATTGGAGATGCGTGTACATTTACCCCAGATGCTGCCAGAGATGTCTGCAGCTCTTCAGAGGTGATGTGTATGCGGGCCTTTACCTGATTTATTATCCTTCTTGGTGATAGTCTTTATGGGTGTCCACTTCCAGGCAGAGTTGCTGTCATGTTGACTGCCTTCCGTTTGTAAGTATCTTACAGTGGATGGAGCTGGAAATCTTTTGGGGGTGGTCTTATAGCCAGAATTAGGGGCTTTCAGTACCTTCCTGGTGATACCTTCTTTCCTCGGGCCATTGTTGATCTGTGGTTCATTTCATATTGCACATACACTAATTCCATGTAGTTTTTTGGCTGCTCACACAATTTTATAACATTTCACATATGTATAACTGGTGATAAAATCACGGTGAAAAAAAGACTTACCCAGCACTGTATTTATTGATTTGTTACGCCGCATTATAACCCCACAGAACTTCAGAACTTTGCTAACCCCGCCCTCGTTACATAACTGTCCTGCTGCGATGCCACGAAAGGCCACACAGACCTGAAAAGCAGGGACAACAATCGTCTTTTGCGGTGGCAATGCATTATTGATGACGCTGAAGATGAAGCTTGCTTATAGCACAACGTGTTTGGATCAAGAAACCACCAGACACTCTTACAGTTACGTAACATAGCGGTGGAGCAGACGGGAGTGGAGGGGGGGGGATTCAGTCTGGAAAGCATCCGACATCCTCGCCGTGCCGGGCGTGATGCTATCTGCGCCGCGAGACGTGTTCCGTCTTATCACACGGTTTAAAAACGTGTCATCCTCAAACAGACAGTCACATCTGATCTGGAGGAGATTCTTATCGCTTTGGTCCATCTGGAAGGGGAGACAGACGAAATCGGGCCAGGGGAGAGGGAGAAGGCTCTTCAAAGCTCATTCTACTCAAAGGATGGACGCCGTGTGCATACAGAAACGTGCACGTCAAAGCGGTTTTAGAAGAACCAGAGTTGCAAAAACAAGTTAAATCGTTGAACTCTCCATCCTTTCACTCGTGAATCATACGGTTAACTTCCAATGTCCCTTTATGAACTTTATGAGCTCTATTAGACATTTCTGTATGACCCCCCCCCAAGTTTTCTTTTCTTATCCAAACAAGAAAACACAACGCACAAGCTCGGCGTGAAGCGGATTCTGACGGTGAATGCTGTGATTGACAGGTGTGGTCCGAGGGGAACCTGCCTCTCTGAGCTCTGATGGACTCCGGTCCGAGGGGCCCAGCGAGCATAAGAGGTACATCGGTAGATAACGGATGTACGAGTAGATGGATAATTACCTGTTCCTCAGCTGTAACATCTACATGGTTGCTACCTGGACGAGGTACTCTAGTCTTTTGTTTGTAAAAGCAGCAATACTACAGAGTGAAAGCATAGCGAAGGTATAAGAATCGAAACATAGTTCAAAGTAGCAACCACCACCTTTAAAGTAATTTTGAACATTTCTAAGTAATCATTTTAGCATCACTAATGTTGCAAAGTTGAGCTCATTTTCATTAGGTTGCTTTATTTTGGTATTAGTGTGTATTGCATTAATAATACAACTCTTCAAACAGGTAATACAACTACAGCTGTCAATTCAATTTAGTGGAGTAAAAAGTACGAATGGTAAAATGGAAATGCTGCAGTGAAGTGGGGGTGTGTGGACGGGACGGCAGCCCCAGTTAGTGTGATGCTGCTCTCTTGTGGCTCTCGTGGAGAACAACAATTGATGCTTGCAGCTTTTACAGCGTGCACCTCTCACAGTCCATTTGTGCACTCTTCTAGTCTGATGCCAATAGACAACGTCCAGGTTCTGCCACTGACCGATCTTCAGATCTCTTTTAAACCCTGAATCCTTAGAACCCAACTGCGTACATTTATCGAGTGTAAATCCCTCCAGTTAACAAAATGGCCAATCGTTACCTTTTGTGCAGCATTTATGGTTTGGTTTTTGTCATTTTGACATATTTGCAAATGTTCAGTATTAAACAAAAGCAGAGGCTGATGGGAATGTACTTGGACAGAAGTATTGGGCCTGTAAAAAGTTCATCCAGTCCCGGGTTCTCGCGCATTCTTCTCCGTCCTTCCTGTCTGGTGGCGGAGACTCAGGGGTGTTTGTCAAACGGTCTCTCGCGTGCGATCACTGTTCTACGAGACAATAGACCCTCGTCACAAAGTAATCATCCATCAAGGAGGATCCCAGTAGGGGGTCCTGCATTGTTCCTACTGGGGAGTGTTACCAAATGAGGTGGAGAAAGAGGCCATTTCTCCCTCATCATCATCATCATTTCCTATCCAAGAACAAAACCGCCCGAAGACAGGAGACGACTTCTAAAATTAGTTGTAGGATTTCTGATCCCATTCCTTGTAATTGAATTGAAATTACTCTAAGATTTCTTTGGCTTGGAAATCTGTTGATGAAACCTCCCTAATATGTGCAAAGAAATGGGTCAGGCCAGCGTTTGCACATATGATTGTTCATTTAACGGCACGTGTGCAGGGGACTATTTTGTTCTCACACAATGCGCATATTAGAATCCCAATCGTTCCAAATTGACAGCCACTTGGCACTGGAACTAAAAGTGTTACAGTTCAATATGGACAGTCCATTGTAAGCTACAACTGTCTGACACTCAACGCTAAAATTATCTTCTTATTCTGACAATAAGTGATGGATGAAATGGCATTGATTAAAAAAAAGAAGACAGAGCCTTTACGATCTGTGAGAAGTATGAACAAATTCATGTAAATGTTGTGGAATCCTGGATTTGTGCATTAAAAAGAAACAACAGAGATTTCCACTACTTGATTCTATGCGCACACTTAGACCGACACTTCAAGCTAACAGAGTTAGCATCATTTTCAGGATTAGGTGGATTAACCACCGGAGAGAAATAGCCGCTCCCTTCCTCAGAGATCCCATTGATCAAGGAGCGATATATTAGTTAGAATAGCGTTTCATAGGGAGAGTTTTTTGAGATCGCCAAGATCCGTTATGACACCACGATGACTTTGTGTACGAGCCGCTATCGATGCAGCCGACAATGAATCATTTATTGACAAGACGACCTTCTGGAGCCGTACATGGTGAACGCCACACGCCACAGCCGAGCGTTGCCTGTCCCACGGACTGTATGCGTAGCCTAGCGCTTCGTAGCGAGTGGTACATCTGTGTACAGTGTCGCGATGCAGAGAACATCGGTCAAGCCGCCGCATGCCGTCCTGTTGGTAAAGTGTGCATGGATGTGTTCATTACGTTCCCGGTCAGAGTAAATGTAGTCAGAGGGCTTTCATGGAATCGCAGGTAATTGATTCATTCAATATTTCTATCACCATTCATTTTGGAGCTTATCATTAAACAGTTTCCCAATAGACCCCTTCACGGATGACGTCACAGGAAAATTCGAAGTGCGTAGTGCGCATGTCGGGGTCAGAAAGTTCCGTGAACTTCCATCGATCGTGTATAAACGAAAAATGTTCTCTTCAAAATGCCGACTTGTTGCGTCGTGGACTGTGCAAATCGCACCAGTTGTGGACTCAAGTTTTTTAGGATTCCTGCAGGATCTCATCCTTTTCAAAAAAATAGACGACGTCTGTGGCTGCAAAGAAGCTCGTGTTTGCAGTGTTCACTTCATATCAGGTAAAGTCATCCTTTATCACCCCTTTCTGTTAGATTAAACTCGAAAGCCAGGATTGTGTGAACAATTTTCTGTACACTAGAATAAATTCAAATGAGTGTCCGAGAATAGTGTGCCGTACTCGGACATCAGCCGGGACCTCCCACTCTATGGAACTGTTTATTTCCTTCATACACGGCACCCACTGTTCTGCCATCAGTGTCCGAGACCATTAAAATATGTTGAGAAAGTGTCCGATTTTTATGGTTTGAATTTGATGTTACCGCTACTGTTCCCGTTCATCCCTCAATTCCTGTGGTCGCAAACCCTAGTCTATTAACGTTAACCACGCAATGTTTTCTGACCCCAGGCTGCGCGCGCACCTACCCGTTCTACCGAATGTTTCCAAACATTGAAGGGGTCTATGTTGTTGGCTCAGTGGACAGCAGGCAGATCCCCATCGAGGCCAGAGCCCTCCTGCGTAAACGACGCAGATTTTGTCCATCGGAAAGGCTTTAATGCGCAGGTATACGTCTTTGACAATAGGGGCCATGGACCTTGCAATTACCTGCTGTATGCTGCCCGTGACCGGTACGATACCCACGACATGAACACAACTCATCTCAAATGATACACTCACATCCAGCTGCTGATCCAGCAATGAAATCTTCTTTTCATCTTCAACTGGCATGTCTGCAATTTCAGTACGCAAGTATCGCTTGTACCGTGTCCGCACCTCTTCATGGGTATCCTGAAAAAAAGACAGGAAAACCATTCAAAACTTGTTCAGTGTGGTGGTCGGATGCCAACTGGGTATTTCAATAAGAACTCACAGTACCGGTGGAGTGAGAGGGGCCTTAAGGAATGCATTGATCCAAATACCACTCACACTTATGCATTTAAGTTGTCTGCGATATCGAATCAGCGGATCAGCCTTTAAGGAAGCGAAAGCCTGACTTCAATCATCGGATTCATTTCAGATGGCTAACAGAACATTTGATCGACTTTGTTGAACGGCGTACGAGGAACGGCGCCCTGATGTAGCAGGTCCTCTTCTTGTTGCAATGCTACGGCTTTCACAAGTATCAAATGTCAAATTGACATCAACTGCTTTGAGTGCTTACACTTCAATCAACACTTCAACTGGAGGCTTTCGGCTCAAACACGACCCGTCGACTGACATTTCCTTTTAAATGTTACATTTAAGCTCTCTGGAACCTGTATCGCTCTTCTCCGTGTTTTCATGTAGCAACAGAGTTACTTCTTGTTCTGAGCTTTACCCAGCATGCAGTTCGGCGGAGTCATTTTTAAATTGTTTATGTGTCACAAGCTGTTGTGTCGTGGTGTTTCACCCTGCTAAAGAGTGGTAGTTGTTAAAGTATTATTATAGTTATAAAGTTATAACCATGACTCAATCTCAACACACGTAAGCCCAGTAGCTGCGACCGCTGTACGCCCCTCAATGACGTGTAGAAGGACGTGAATTCTGCCGCCTGCCGTCAACGCAGTTAAATGAACGCTACCTGAGGACGTCTTATACAGGTATATTTTAATTTGAAACTTTTAATCTGAAAACCTTCCCAGTCATATTATTCCATCAAAAGATTCATATCAGGCCAAAAACGGGACAAAATCACATTGACAAATCTAAATTTGGAGGGACAACTATGGAGGAGAATGTTAGGCATTCTTTGGAGCTGTAAACACACTCCAGCTATGCTCAGATGTTGACACGGTAGGAGATTACGTTCCACATTTAGGATATTAGAGACGACGGAGGAAACCCAGACAGCGGTCACAGCGTCACACAGGCGGCGGGCGCCGTTTGTTGTCTCTTATATACTGAGCATTATGAGCAACTGGCGTGAAGTCAGCGAGCACAAAGGAGGGTCAATAATGAGAAGTGATCTCCCGGCTCAAAAGACTCGGCCCCGGTCCAGCCATTGTTGAGAGGTGACTTTTCATTTTTTATTTTCAAAGCAGGCATGGAATCCCCTTGTCTGCTGTCGTGCTCAAATCTTTTAAGTATTTCCTGTAGAGTAATCAATAGGACAATGGCCGCGAGCAACTCAGCGGCCGTAAAGCAGGGGAGGCATGGAGGGGTCAGCTCGGACAAGTCAGGGTCTCTTTGCTGCAAGTTTGGATATGCAACTTGATTGCAAACAAACTGAACATCAAGGAAGCTTTTGCCACTGAGATTTTTCCATCTGTGACCTTGAGAATCGAGCATCAAGGACTACGTTTCCCTCACCAATACTTTCTTTGAAGACAAAGCACAGCTGATCGTATCAATATCAATACGTAGACGATTCAGTGATCGCGACACTGTCGCTACCTAACAAGGAACTACATTTCTCTACTACTATCTCTACTCTCTAGATACTAGGATCTATGTCTCAAAGTGTCAGCAGGACCTCCTGGACGAGTCCACATGGCTCCAGGTTCCATACGGCGGTCATGGCAGCAAGGCATGAGGCAATATCGACCAGTGGCTGGGCTGATGAGGTGGAGTGCAAACCAGTGAGGTCATTGAGAGGGTCAGGTGACCTGGACAGGTGGGCGTTCTGAGGGCATCTGCTGCAACAATGCAGAGGGCCGGGAAGTGACAGTGTCTGAAGGGAGCGACAGTGAGGTTGAGTCTTTTGCATGCATACTTTCTTTCTACATGAATGTATTATAGAAATAATATATTTGGGTTAGCCAATATAAATCAAATACCTTTAACTTGAAACTGGCAATGGGGTTTTGGGGGTTTGAGATATTCTGCAGCTCACAAAGTTACAAAATGTTTCATTGTTGCTTTGCAGGCAGGTGGTATTAATGTCTCTGCCGGTGTGTTTTGATTTTGATTTGGCAACTAGTTCAGCTTAATTTGTGGATTTCCTCATAAAGTTTCTCAGTTTGTGTGCGCATGCGGACAAAATAGTCTGTTCTTGTTGGTAAACTCCTGGTGTTTTGGCTCTTTTTTTTCCCGCCACTCATACTGGCCTTTTTGTCTGGGTTAAACGGTTGCCCAGTTTAGAGTTTGCAGTTTTCTTTTAGAAATATTTTTCCATGCCGTTTTTCACCACAGCCTTTCATCATTTAATTATTCTATCTTAAATGACCATGGTAATTTTTTAGACCGATTAAGTGAAATTGGACATTTTACCCGGGCACACCTGACCGTTTCTCACAGCACACTCACAGCTGGTTTAGCCAATCAAACAATTAAAATGCAACTTCTCCTCACTCAAAATAACGTAACATTCATATTTTAGTCAAACTGTAGCATATTCCTCCCAACCGATGGTATGACTTGACTGAGGATTGTACAATCTATTTTAAATCGCACAAAAAAAAAGAGTTCTATATAAAGCGCAAAACAACTGTTAGCTTGTCCTGGCCGTTAGCATTGATGTGGTAGCCTATACACATTTTACACAACGTTAGCTAACCATTACTTATGATACTTAAAACACAGTTATTAAAACATTAACCAACCATGTGTCTCTTCTGGCGTGTGGGGGACAAATACCAGAACCATTTCTTCACTTTCTAAACCTCCTCTTCTCCTGCTTTTCACTCTCGCCGTCTTCGCGCGCACATTTCCCCATTTCCGTTTTAACTCAGAACACCGCTTTCAGAATAAAAGCGTTTTATTTTAAACAGGAAATTTACAACAAATCCAAATAATAAGCGAAAACCTATAATAAACGCCAAACACTCAAAACAAATCAAATAGTTACACAAACCATGTGACCCTTGCCATAAACACATTATTAAAATCTGAGCAGTTAGTTTAGCTAGCTACCAGCTAGCTCATTAGTCGGCATGTTGTTAATTGCACCTAACTAATTAAGGGGTGTTCCTATTTTTACCGAACGAACACGTAAACGTTTATTACTTCAGATAAATGGGTAGTTTGCTGGCTGGATGGTTCCCAGTGCAGTTGGCAAATATAGCTACTTTGGGGCGCTGACTTTGTAAAATTTGGAAAGGTTTAGGAGGGTTGTGCTGCTAGTGCTTCCTGAATCACTAGGGGCTGAATATACAATGTTAGCATGACCGGCTATTGGTTAATGAAACCCAGATAAATACCAATTTGCTTGCTTCTTATAAATTTTGTGCTTTCAGAAGAACAACTGACCTCGTATTGGCTCCGCTCTGCAGTTTCCCTCTCATTGGTTATAAAAAAAATCACCATGCACATTAGCTTCCGTGTTAGAACCAAGAACATCAGCCACCGGCCTTGCCTTTCATTCCAGCCATTAAAGGATAAAAAAAGGAATAAACAGGACGATAACAACTCGGCACCTTTGTCCTTTCTAATCTTCAGGCATGCTGATTAAATTCCAACGGTTATTCATATCCCTCCTCGCAGCATTATAAACATACAAAACCTGCTCTGCTGAGGTTTGGGTATGTGTACGTGGGAAAAGTCGCCAGGGGAAGAAAAGCAATGAAATGTCAACTCAGATAAGAGAAAATATGTCTGGGTCTGAATTGTGTAGAGTTCAGTCAGGAATTCTCGGGTAAAAAGGGTGATGGGAAAGCCCGACACAAGAACGGACACTCTTGAGCGTTTAATACTGCAAAAGATTTTTAATCCAACTGAGCGTTGAGTATGTACAGAAGGAACAATTTGTACATAAATAGGCAATAGTTATAAATATCAGCGGCTTGGCTGGTAGAAAAATGTAGAAAAAAGAACACGTTGTACATTATCTACAAGTGCCACTTATTATTATTTTTTAACAACATTGTCTCTCGGTGGATTGTTTGTGGAATCCCATTCACACACCGCACTGAGGACGACAGTAGACTAAGGTTGGGTCAGCTACTTTGACCTTAATGAGACAGGATTATTGAGCAGCTGCGAGTCCAGCTGGGGACCAGGAGTTGGTGGGTGTCTCCTCAGATGTTTGCATCACAGGACCTGTGGCGGGAAGGACACAGAAGTCGCCATGGTGAGCGATCCCGTCACCGGAGTTTACCATCCAGTGGTTTGCTGCTGGGTATCAGTCCAGAGGTGCAGCTCATCTGACAACTTCAGTCCAGTCTCTTGTGGTTTCATTGGCAGAAACAAATAAGAAGTGAGCTGCTCCTCTGAACATCCCGCACCCTTTTGGAGACGCTTTAGGGGGAGGGGGGTTCAGCTGAAGAATAGCACAACCCCTCCTCCTTTTCAAGGAAAACTAATTCTATTCACACAACAAATTCAAAAGGACGACACTCGCATGTCTCCTGACAGCAAGTCGGCAGCAGCAACTCACATTTGGTCCCTGAATTGATCTAAAATATTAAAAAAGAAATAGTGAGGACAATGTGCAGAATGTTCAGTGAATTAAAGAGGGGGGGGGGGGGGCAGTGTTTAAGATGTCTTCTCTGTAATATACCCTTACCAATTTGGAGGAAATTGGTATAGAGAACGTACACAAACAGCAGTTTCATCCATTTTCAAATTAGACAATGGTCTTCCAGGCATTCAGGCTGCCACTTCATTCCTGTGCAATGTCGCCCTCTCGCGCACGGAGCTGGTACTGGCGGCGAGCTGCGTCCGTTGCATAGCTCTTGTGAACATTATTACCTTTTTAGAGCTGCAAAACCACACACCTCGTAGAAACACACACATCATTTTTCTTTGTTCGGTCAAATTTGTGCTGCCAGGTCCCAACGGGTCCGACCAACGTGCAAGCGTCTCTAAAAGTGAATAAAATGAATAAACCGTGGCTGTGAAGTCAATCAGATGACACATGAGGTGATAAATAAAGCTAGAAGGTTCGCTTTGGTGCTTTGGCATTGACTCCTCTCACCCAGCTGCACACAAGAGAATCTGTTGGCCTTTGGAGAGAAATCTATGGGCATTCAGCTTAAATTAAAAACAGTGTTTCTTTCTATTCCCAGTGAAATAACTCAAGCTAATGCATCAACACGGTAAATCACATGGATCACATTCCTTTCGTTGCTTCACCCGTCACCGGTTTCTGGGTATCATGACTGCGGTTACTGCATTAGGTCACATCGGGAGCAGTATCAGTGCTAAAAACAAGGCAGATTCATTTCAGTGCAATATGCAAAGTCAAACTTAAGGAACATGGGTTAATAAACAACACAAAGAAAAGAGGAAGCCAGAGAAAAATCGGCCATCTTGAGCAGCAGAATCTGTCCAACCTTCTCCGGTGGGGGGGCTGCTGTCCACAGGGGAAATTCATAATGCGGCAGACAATGTCCGAATCCCCATAGCTGGATTCCTGCACCACAATATGCACCAAATACAGAACATTTTGTCTGAAAATGTGAGTCTCGAGCAGCAAACCCGACCCCCCTTCCCGTCCTTCTTAAGACCTGAAAAGGAGGAAGCTTATCTTCCGCTAACCAGACCTGAACCACTTCGGAGAGCTCGTCCAGGCTCTAAAGGAATATTCCAACCTTTACTCTCCTTCTCGCTGAGCGTTACAAGAGAAGATTGACAGCACGCTCAGGTGTACACGATCATTGGCCAGCGTCCAGTTAGCTTAGCTTAGCACAAAGACTTGAAGTAGCCCAGATCTGCCTACCAGGATCTATTGGGTACCGAACTCTGTACTGTTCATGGTACAGACCAAATTACATCAGTACCACTGAGTTCCGAGTGTGGACTCCCTTCTTTACACTGATAACTTTCTCCTTCCAGTCATTATGCTAAGCTAACCCTCTATGTTCATATTTAGCGTACGGACGTAAGAATCTCCGCATCTGGGGAGGAAAGCGTGCAAAGCAAAGGTGCAACAAAAAGCCTTCGAGAGTCAGTGGCCATACAAAGGCATCTGGATGTCCCAGAGAAGGCTGTTGGCACGAAGAAGTGATGCAACTCCGGACCCACCCAAACAAAACATGGCTTTTGAGTCCAGGAGCTGAGGATGACGATGTGTCCGTCTGCCATCGAGCCCCCCTCCTAAAAAGGTCCGGCGCATTTCTCCTCTTCCAATGGCTCCGAGTGGCTCGCGGTCGCCTCCGCGTCGGCGCTGCAGCTCGTCCAGCGGAGGCTCCGCTTCACAGAGTGGCGAGGACGCGTGAGAAGGATATGACGACGGAGAGGGCGGTCTGGCCCACGCCGAACACCAGGGCCTCCAGCGGCGCCATGTCCTTCCCCGCCACGCGGTACACCCCCGCCACCGCCGCGCCTGAGGGAGGAAATGGCACAAGTGGTCAGTCAAAACTCATCTTTCATCTACGAGGAAATCTTGTAGAAGGTCTGGAAGATCATAATGTGACTACTTAGTGTGATTAAATAGGGGAATAGAGTTGTATCAATTCAGAAAAAATTAAATAACGGGAAGAAAAGCTTGAATTTCCCCTTTTCTGCATCACATTTGGACTCGACAGTCTCAGCTAATTATAAATAATGAATCTAAACACTGTTTTGGGAGAATTAAGATCTAGTTTGCTACGATGTTAAACCTGGTCTTAATGCATCAGGGCCGTTCTCCTCCTCACATGGAGGAGCTCATTGCGCCTCATGACGGCGTTTCAACGGGTTCTGAGCACATGAGACACTGGTTTAGTGCTGCAGTGGGAAGTATGAGACTAACTAATTGTAGCTCTTAAATTGTACTTATAACGGCTATTATCTATAGCAAGTTGTAGATCGGCTTATTTGATGAAATCGCACTTTCTTGTTCTTCTGGGTTTGGATAAAAAGCGACAGCTAAATGACATGTAACGTAAAGAAACTATCTTCCTGTAAAATATTAGTATATTCTTAAATGACTCATATAGAACACATTCACACATTTATCCAATTATACCCAACAAGCCCAAACCATTCTGTCTCTATGTAAGAGGCCTGACTAGGGAGCTTTACGCGTTGAAGTGTACGCGGATGATGTGGTCATCTTACTCAACCAATCAGATCTCATGTTGTTTGTATCATATAGTTGTTCCCTTTGATGTGAACAATATTTGGCCCGTGCTCTCGAGTGTGCACTGTTTTACTGCCGCAGTTTTGATGGGTTGTTTCGTCGCGCTCTGTTGGAAATAAATGAGGTGTTTACACAAAACAAATAATAACCTGCAGCTGTGGCGTCTCAATGAGGTTATTCAACTAGTAGGACGGCACAGAAGGTCCAGGCCGGAAATGCACGCCACTGGCTGAAGGACGTTCGAGCCTGAGAGGTGTGGACCAGTCCATGTATCAACATCTCAAGGAGGATATTAATGTACCGAAACATCCTTAATCGCTTCGCTGCCACAAATAGCGGCAAAAATCCATCTCCTTCTCTGTCATAACTCTGAACCGAGACAGAGAATGACATTAGATTGATTGTGACTTACCCAGGAAACGATCATCTCCAATGTCCATCACAAAAGGATCTGAATAATGAATCAGTTCACACCCACACAGTCCCGTCTCAACTGATTCCTCCAATCTCAAGTGATACGTAGCATTTGAAACAAAGCGCGCGGGGGCTTTGGCGGTCGACGCTTGTCTCTCTAACGCCTCGTAACCTTTGCTGTCCTTCTGCTCGGCTCCGCCGCGCTTTGACTTTAAAGTGGGGACTGACGGTCACAGTCCATCCTCTGCTCACCCTGATTGCTGCACATTAATAATAAAGCAGCCTGCTATTTTAGGGGGGGGGCATCTCGCATCTGCGACGGGGAGTGATTCCTTCAGCTGGGCTCGGATAGATTCAGGTCTATTTAACCACACGGTGAGTTGAGGATAATAATGGACGACTCAGGGCTTAAGTAACATCTGGTGCATCTGGTAACAGGAAGATAAACAAACACAAACAAAAAGGGGAACAGAAAGCAGGTAGCTGGAAGACGCAGGGCGCCATCGGCATGGAACCATTTTCTTATGAACTAGCCTTAAGCTACGTGTTTATGAGGCCACATGCTGCAGTGATCTTCACAGCGTGAATAGTGCTCGCCACCATGACCAGTAAACTGAGCCGCTGGAGGGCCCCTTTGAGGCCCCTGTCATCCGTTCACATGGTGATTGAGTGGTGCATTAAGTATTAACAGGGAACTCATTCAATTACTGCAAACTCATTTGTCGGCGCCACTGGGGGTCTGAATTAGCAGTTCAGCCACTGCAGGTTTCGTGTTGGCAGCAGTTCCTAAACATTTCCCAGCCCTTAATTTATGTTAACAGTTTCTAGTAGTAGTATCGCAGCGAGCCAAAAGCAATGAGACATTTGATACGTGAGGAAAAGAGGAATGTAAACAATAAAAGAGGAGTCGGAAGTCAACTGCCGTCCGTCAAAAAAACAAAGAATACTTCATGAAAAGTGTGTAGCAACGAAGTTGACTCACTGGTGATGACGCCGCCGGAGAGCGAGGCCAGGAACCCGGCGCTGACCAGCACCAGGGTGATGAGGCGGCCCCTCTTGTGGCGCTGCAGCATGACCAACATGAGCAGCCCCGCCGCCCCGTGGAGGAAGAGCGAGGAGAAGAGACACCACAGGAACACCCAGTACCACATCTCTGACGGGGACAAAGCACATCGGATACCACGTGAAAAAGACTGAACTATGTCACCGTTTGGTCGCGTGTTGACACTTTTATAAATGCCGAAATGAATCCCAGAGGTGGAATGCTATGCTATGCTATGCTAAGTTCATCACGCGACCGCTATACTTAAAAAGGCAAAATTCTATTGCCTCCACATGGCTCTTAACATGGCGACGGCTAAGCCGGATAACAGCGCAAGAAACAAAAGTTGCCGACAATCTATTATCTCTAAATAGAAAACCATTGTTTCATTAAATATATTTGCACTGAATGTTGTACAATATTATTTTCATTTTATGGTACTTTGTAATTCATTGGATCGAGGCGACCAAAATGCCAAGCCCTTGTTGGTGAACGGGAGAGCGTAATCAAAGATGACCTGCATTTTCATTACGGGAAATGCAGGATCCAGGATGTGCAGAGCGCGGTCCACACCGGGGACCAGGAATCAGGACGACTCAGCTTCCGACGCCCAGATGGTGAGCAGATCTTAATGTAATCCATCTCTCATGAGTCCCTCGACTACATGGTGAAATGCTACATCACTGCCGTGAGCCTTTAGGTAGAGATGGTGTGAGAATCATTGATCCCTACAGATTTCCATTATAGTGATAAATAGGATAAAAATTCCTCCCTGCATAAGGAAAGAAAAATAAAATGTCCCTGTCGTGCTAATTCACAGATTTTTTACAGATTTACACGAACAGACAACATTGAAGAGCCCGTTGTCGAGGAGGTGGCCGTCCTCGGCAATGGACCGGAGGTTGCGATGTACGTATGTAACCGAGCTGCTGGTCTAGCAGTAAACAACAGTAACAACCGCTCACAGCTGAACAACTCGGTCAGCTGCAAAACTAAAAGATGCTGATTTTGTTCAACGCACAAACGGCCAACAGTCATTCGTGCAGCAAACAGAAGAGCATCTCTGTCATGTCTTAATAACAGATTTCAACAAATGGACCACATCTTCATAGAAGCCGGACCAAAATCAGAGGTCGGTCTCCCTCCTCTCTTACACAGCGGCTCTACATAAAGAAACCAGCATTATTCCAGAAGAAGAGGGCGTCGACAAGAGGATGAAGGTCGAAAGAAAAAGCCAGGCAGGACTGTGTTTGGAAGGTATCAACAAGTTCCTCCGGCCCAGAGGGGGCTCATCAGAACATCCATCCGCCCCACTCGCTCCACAGTCGACCGAGCGCCTACATCTACATATTGATCTGTCAGCGGGCGGAGAGGGACGCGAGCCGGCCAGCGACACAGCGGCTCTTTGTCCGCCGGCTCGACCCCCGCCGCTGCATCGTCGCTGTCTCCCCCCGCACGAGCAGGAGAAGGGGGAGGGGTACGCCAGGAGTCAGTACCACGGGCTCGTCCTCTCACCCACCAATCCACCGATTGAGCTGAATTAAAAATTAGCTATAGACAGTTTGCTAGAATCTGGTTTCACCACAAATAGGAAAGAGAAAAGAACCCAGAGGATCCCAGGACGGGACATCTGTCGGCCCACTTAAGCCTGAACGGATTAACACAACGCGCAGCACGGGGCCACGCGGGGCCACAGGAGTAATGTGATCAAGATCTAAATGAACAAGGAAAATACATGTGTCATTATTTACTCCAGCGGACAGAAACCATTGTTGGCAGGTCCTCTTTGTCACACAAATCATTTCCGGGGACGGTGGTCACAGCTCAGAGGAAGAAGCGCCAGACTCAAGTTCTGTGTCACGTTTAGAGGTAAAAAACAGTCAGAACACGGCGTTGACTTCTGCTAATCCGCAACTACAGGCCGAGGTCCGCGCGGCAGCTTTAGAACGCGCCTGTCAACAGTGAAGCATGAAAGAACACTAGTTAAGCTGGGGATCAGGGTTTCTCCGTAGCCTGGTAGGAGGTCAGGGAACCAGCAGAACCAGTGTGAGTTCTCCATTTTGGACCTCCCTTAAAAAAGCAGTGAGTTTATTTTTTGCCCTTTTAATTGTTTTATTTGCTCTTGCTATTTGTTTTTATTTTATTTTCTCTAAGAACAGCCCTTTGCGGGTACGTTTTAGGATGGTGCTATATAAATATAAAAAGCTAATTATTACATCATTATAATTTCAAAGGCATTTCCTACTTGGGCTGCGGGATGATTGACCACATTTATTTACATTAGTGGCATTAAGAATCTCCTGCCGACCTACAATTTCCTCTCATGCCAATTTTCAATGAATAAATAAATAAAAAGTTGGTCGGAACGAGATGTAAACAGTTCAAATGAAATAACAGGAAACTAAATACTTGGGAGTTACAGTACGTTTCTTCTTCTACCCGCACCTTGAAAAAGGATATTTAAAAAGAATCTCCATCTGACATTCAAAGCATCAGCATCAAACCACTATGAGGTTTCGCCCTCAGATAGAAACTGCTCGCCATAGTTTGCGCTGTTTCCCGCTGGAAGCGCTGTTGTCATGTAGGCCGTAGAGCTTCATCTCCCTGTTATCTGTGTAGATAAAGTCTTCATAATGCGGGTAGACCGACTCTTTAAAGCTGAGCCAATCAAATCACAGAAGCAAACTATGTTCCTTTTATGCTGAAGTGAAACTGCTGCTGCACACAAACCATAAACAGGAAACTCATTTGTTTAAGCTGCTCCACCCGGGGGCCATGAAGACCGGGCCAACGGGGCCACGTTCATCAAAAGTTTTCATATGCTTCTGAAATGTATCGCTCTGGCACACTCTGTCCCCTTTGACCTTCTCGGGAGGTCTTTCTTCCCCTGGCAGGTGAACCCCAAGGGGTTTGGTGGGTGGGTCACTAAAGTCGTGGCTCCTGGCAGCCTTTTCTGCACTTGCTGCTGCTGCGTCGCTTTCGCAAACCTCTACATGCGCCGCAGCTTCCTGCTGAGTCAGCACCATCAACAACCTTCTCCTTTTTCTTTCTTATCTCGCTCTTGGCTTGATGTGTTCCTCAATGTCCGCTGCATTTCATGAGCTGGGTCCGTGCCCACTCGGCTGTGCCCCTGCAGGGAGGAATTCAGGAACACAGCAGTAATCTTGTGTTTACGTGTGGCAGGGCGGCCCTGTTCTTCCTGTGTACATCGCCCTGCATACGTTAAACAGACAAAATGAAATGTCCTCGCAAGAGGAAGTTTGGCCCTGCCTGGGGAGGATGAGATAAAATACGCCCACACGGCTTTTCTTATTCTTACTGTCTTGTTTTTTGTATTACATGGACCGTGTGTTTCGAATCGCAGATCGTCTCCCTTGAGGCGAATTGTCACGTCTCCCCATCATCACCTGAGTAGCAACAAGGTGAATCGTGCATATGAAATAAACTCACAAGTGGTGAGAAACAAAAAAAAGAGCTCTTTTGAGCTCCATCAGCCCACCGTGATGCTCCAACCCCATACAGCTCATTAATACCCCTACACGCAGCTCATTAACACACATGCATGCAGAACATTAATACCCCCACATGTAGCTTATTAATACACATGCATGCAGCACATTAATACACATGCATGCAGGTCGTTAATACCCCTACATGCAGCTCATTAATACACATGCATGCAGCACATTAATACACATGCATGCAGGTTGTTAATGCCCCTACACGCAGCTCATTAATACCCCCACATGTAGCACATTAATACACATGCATGCATCTCATTAATACCCCTTCATGCAGCTCATTAATACCCCTACATGTAGCTTATTAATACACATGCATGCAGCTCACTAATACACATGCATGCAGCTCGTTAATACCCCTACATGCAGCTCACTAATACACATGCATGCAGTAAAGTTGGGCCCTGCTGATCAAAAAGCACATCGACTCAGAAACAACGTGGATGGGAAGTCTCGACCAGCCGGTGCCCCAGACGGATTGCCCGGTGGAGCTGCGGATGCTGCCTCTAATTGCCCCTTGATTACTGGACCGCAAGACAAAGGGCGGGGGAGAAGCAGGGCATGGTCGGGGGGGGGGGGGGGCGGGCCATTCGTTTTCTGCTACTTCTTCTAAACTACCGAAAACTGAATAACCCTTTCAAAGAACGGTTTGTTTGGTTGATTCTCACCCCACTAAAAAATGCCCCCCCCCCCCCCCAATCCCCCGGCCGTGCTGCATGTCGGGGTGTCTGCCTTCTACCATGTGGTCTCCTTTGTGTGTGAAGACACACTGCGTCATCCCCCAACACGCCAGTACCTCTCCTCGTGTGTGGAGATACTGGGGACAGGTATGTGCACGCAGACACACGTGTATTGAAAGCTACTGCTTAAAGAAAATGAATCTGGCTTGAATTGCGTTGTGCTCTCGGTTCTGTGTCCAGGTGTTTGTCCAGGGAAATGCAAAGGAATGCGGGCCGTGTCCTGAAAACGATCCTGGGAGCAGAGGGCGTCTTTGCCCACTCATTTCCCCATTTCTTTCACTCTCATTTCAGCACCCCGATCAAGCTTCGTCGTTCTCTACTAGGACGTGGTGACGTCGCTACACCTTTGACAGCGCTGATGTCATTTTTCATGCTGCTCACAAAGGTTGGGCTGGACGCCAAATGCACTCACGGTGAAGGAAATTCCCTTAAAGCAGCCGAGGTCCAGGTAAAACCAACTT